CCCTATATTATCACGCCAATTCATTGGCCGATGGCGCTCGCGCAATCTGGCCTCACCCCTACGCAATCACATCGCATACCTCATATATGCGCGTGCGCCATCCTCCCCTCAGATTTCTCTGCCTTCACGAAGCGGCCATTTCGCCCTTCGACTTCGGTTTTTCTGAGCCCGTATTAACGGATTATTTCGACGGATTTCACCTGTTCTTCATTTGCACTTCAGCGACTGCTTTCAGTGGAACCCTGTTCTCCTTGTGGTGAAGTGCCATGGAGTATCCCGCATGGCCCGCCGCCATGCGTTCGCTTCATCGCGAACAACGACCCGCACGGTAAGTGTTTGGGTGTTTCGCATGCTTGCGAGGTTATTTTAGGACTTCAAAATGCAATTTTGTGATAACCTCCTTCTCAAACTCTCCATTCGCGTTGTTTGAGAAGGAGTCATTCGTCCCCCCTCGTCCTCACTGAGCTCTAGGATATGGAGTTTGAGCAGACGGGCCATGCCCTTTCTCTCCCTCCGTCTCCCGAGCACGCACGCGGTGCCAAACCAGTCAAATTCTTGCATGATTTTCTATGTCCCATGTGAATCAGTATTCTTTCGGGCTAGAAGACATTATTTATACCACGGCTTCCGACTCCGAGGATTTCGGGCCTGTTTTAGCTTCGGATGCTCTCCTGCCTAATCCCAATGCCCGCTCTGGTTCTCCCGTTACCGAGAAACTCTATCGACTGGTCTGACGAGCCCCGCGAGTCTCAGTCCTCTACTGGTTGCCTAGTAATGTTTGTGAGTGACATTCACGGAAGTTACTCTATGCTAGACAACAAATACGTTTTATTGCCCCTACTAACAAATATTTTGGAAAGAAAAGTCTAAATATAATTGGAACCAGTACATAAAATGCAAAAAAAAATTAAATAAATAAATATATAATATTAAAGATGAACGAGAAACAGTGAGTGTTCTTTGTCATCGCGGCTAGTTAACTGCAGCAAACGGGCAAATACTGGTCTATCTGGGTTCTCAAGACCATTCAGTCATGGAGTCAGTACGGTGAACTGTATGTACACAGCGATATATCATACATTATAGGACAGTTTTCTGACTGTTAAAATGAGCTTCTCGTTCAACTTGCCTCGGTCAGACTCAGCACTGAAGAGTGACGCGCTCCACTGACTTTACTCCTATTGGGTGTCGCTCGCGAAAATCACTCTTCATTTGCATAAAGTTAAAGATTTCTCAACTTGTCGCTGGACACGCCCGTCGCCGGAAGTCGCCCGCTCACCATTGAAAATGAATGGTATCGTGTCGCTTGGCCGCGTGCAGTGTGAACGCAGCTTAATGCGGCAGCCGCTGACTTCACCAACCTTGTTGGTTCTGTGGAGCAGGGTTATTCCGCCATTCCATCGGTTGAGCACACGCTTCTCCCCGTCGTCAAGAGAAGTGACTCGGCTCATCCCCCACCCGCTATGGTCTGGGGAGCCTGTGGTCGCCCGTTCCCTCGCCAGCGGCCCTATAAGCGCCTTGAGCTGAAGCGGTCTAACAAACCCTTCGCTCAGGCCTCCTCTAATCGTTCCCGACCCACAAGTCAGAAAAAGGGGAGCTTCTCTCGATGGGCAGATGTGCATGCGTTTCTGCCCACCTCCCACTCACTCTCTTTTTCTAAACCGGTCACTTTCACCACCCTGCGTGTCCCGAAGTGCAGCCACCCCTCAACAGTATCCAAACCGTCTGGAGCAGGAGGAAGGAGACACGCTCAGCTTTCTCCCCTCCCTCTCGACTCACCCGATTCCTTTCGCTCGCGCAGGAGACACTTTCGTTTTCTCAGCAGAAGATGGACCCGTTGGTTTTTGCCAATCGGGCAATGGTGTTCCGCTCCACGTGTCAGGACGTCAACTGCCTTCCTTCATGTTGGATCGCTCCGCCCCATGGGGACCAACACATCACCCCATTCGGGTATGTCCGCCACCTTGCACCACTCCACCTCCTCTCTCTCGGCTCGGCTACACACTTCAGTTCTGTCACCCGCCCCCCCTTCTTCAACAGAGTCTGCCCTACTGTAGTCGACAGCGCTTCTGAGTAAAAGGGAGGAAATTTCCTGCTGTAGAACAGAAGCCTCTAAGGAGCCATAGAGGAGATTCCTCCGGAGGAGATCGAGCAGGGCCTCTTAAGTCGTTACTTCCTGGTACCCAAAAGGGCGGAGGTCTGCGTCCAATATTGGCCCTGCGCCGACTGAATTTTTGTCTCTACAAGGGGAAGTACAAGATGTTGACGCTCTAAGCTATCATCTCTCAAATTCGAGCAGGGGTCTGGTTTGTGACTATAGACCTGAAGGATGCAACCCACCACAGGGACATTGTTCTGCGCCATATTCAGTCTCTCGGTCTTAGCTTGAACGTGGAGAAGTGTTCTTACTCCAGCTCAGCACACAGTTTTCTTGGGGGTGCACATAGATTCCGTTCTTATGCAGGCTCGCTTGGCTCTTGCATGGATTTCCAATTTGACATGTTTGGCCCATTTCTCGCTAGGCCATCGTGTTTCTGTGGGCACTTGCCGCAGACTTCTGGGTTTAATGGCCGCAGCCTCCCCTGTGCTACCCCTGGGTCTGCTCCACATGAGGCCTTTCCTTTGGTGGATGAAGCTCTCAGGGATCCGGCCCACTGGGCCAGCCCTTCATCTGTTGAGGGTGTCGCGCAGTTGCTCTCGCGCCCTGTCAATTTGGCGGGACCCCCTTTTTCTTCGGAAAGGGGTCAGCATGAGTATGGTATTCCGTCGCCAGTTGATTATGACAAATGCCTCTCTAGTTTTCAAGGGCAGACCAGCGTGTGGGGTCTGAACGGGCGAGACCCTCGCTTGGCACATAAACTGCTTGGAGCTGAGAGCCGTCTTTCTGGCTTTACATCTTTTTCTCCCTTTTCTGAAGGGGCACCATGTCATTGTCAGAACAGACAACATGGCGGTAGTTTCCCATGTAAACCGGCAAGGGGGTTCTTGATCTCGCACCCTGGACAGGCATGCACGTCATCTTCTCTAATGGTTTCAGAGCAGGTTCCTTTCTCTGAGAGCAGGTCATGTCCTATCGAGGCAGAAACTCCAATTGGGGGAATGGATGTTGAACCGTCAGACAGTGGCCCTGATCTGGGAGGTGTTCGGGAAAGCGGGAGTGGACCTCTTTGCCTTGCAGGAGTCATCCCAATGCCACCTCTCAGTCATCCCAATGCCACCACCACCTGGTTCTCCCTGAATCATCCAGCTCCGTTTGGGATAGATGCATTCGCCCACCCTTGGCCAATGCAGAAACTCTACGCCTTCCCTCCCATCAAACTGATACAGGCGGTCCTGGCCAGAGTGAGGGAGAGCGGAGTCCGCCTCCTTCTAGTAGCCCCGTTCTGGCCGTGTCAGCCATGGTTTTCGGAGTTGATTCCTCTGCTGGAATCGTCCCCCTGGAGGATTCCAGTCAGAGAGGATTTGCTTTCCCAATTTCAGGGCAGGATTTGGCATCCTCGCCCAGACATGTGGAAGCTGTACGTTTGGCCGATCAGAGGCCGTCGGCATTAGGCTTTGATCTCCCAACTAACGTTCAGGAGACCATCGCTAGTGCTAGAGCCCTTTATACAAGGAGACTGTATTCTTACAAATGGAAGGTTTTCGTGACATGGTGCTTGGCACATGATAGGAATCCAGTTAACTGCCCTGTCGCTTCAGTACTGGAATTCCTACAGGAGAAGTTAACCTCCGGGTCGGCTGCTACCACCCTCAGAGTCTACGTTGCAGCTATTGCAACACATAGAGAATCAGACGAGATTCCCCTGGGTAAACTGAGGTTAGTTTCGGCCTTCATGCGTGGGGTTAGGCGCCTGAAACCAGTTCGCTCCCCTAGAGTTCCCTCATGGGACCTTTCTGTCGTCTTGGAAGGTTTAAAGGAGGCCCCCTTCGAACCCTTGGAGTCAGCTCCGGATCGGATTCTGACTCTTAAGGTTTCACTTTTGTTGGCTTTATCTTCTTTGAAGCAGGTAGGGGCTTTCTGTTAGCGAGCCATGCTTGGACTTCGCTCCTGGTTTAGTCAAAGTTTCCTTGATACCCAGGCCAGGCTATGTTCCTAAGGTTCTCTCCACAGCGTTCCGCTCTCAGGTTGTTAGCCTTAACGCTTTCCTCCCTCCTCCTCTTTCTTCTTGTGAGGATAGGAAGCTTAATCTGCTCTGCCCAGTACGGTCTTTGAAGTTTTATGTAGACCGCTCCAGTAGTTGGAGAAAATCTAACCAGCTTCTGGTTTGTTTTGGTGCTAGCCGCCGCGGGCTTGCTGCGTCAAAGCAGAGGATTTCTCACTGGATCACAGAAGCGATCTCTATGGCTTACGAGGTGCGTGGTTGCCTTCACCTCTTAGCATTAGAGCACATTCCACTAGAAGTCTGGCATCCTCTCAAGCTTTTTTAGAGGAGCTCTTTTGGAGGACATTTGTGTTGCGGCCGGCTGGTCCTCTCCGCACACTTTTGTACGACTCTACATTTTGTATCTTGATATGACTCCGGGTTGCCAGGTTCTTCTGTTTGAACCGTTTATAGTCTTATTCTATTGATACCAGCCATGACAGCGCTCTTAGCTCGGCAAGTTTGGTATCCCGTTCCCACTGCGCTTCCGCAGAGTTAAGTGAACCTATGAAAGAGAACGTCTCTGGTTACTTACATAACCTATGTTCTCTGAATAGGGAACAAGACACTGCGTTTGCGGTCAAGCTCCTTGTGCTGCTGACAGTCTCTTCTTTTCGGCAGAGAAATCTGAGGGGAGGATGGCACACGCGCGTAAATGAGGTATGCGACGTGATTGCGACAGGGTGGGGCCAGATTGCGCGAGCGCCATCGGCCAATGAATTGGCGTGATTATATAGGGCTTCAGGCAATCGGCACATTCAGAGAATATCCCACTGCGCTTCCGCAGTGTCTCGTTCCCTATTAAGAGAACATAGGTTATGTAAGTAACCAGAGACGTTTCTGCTGTTTCTGCTCTAGGTGCACCTCCCCAGTTTCACGGTGTTCTCCAACTTCCCAAAATTCCAGAAGAAGATGATCTTTCAGACCCAGAGTGTGGACTTCTCCCCGAGGAGTGGCTTCTACTCCGTGGCCAACAATAAAGGCCACGCACTGCTCTTCAGGTGTGTGTGTGTACAGCTGAATAGCTCGGCATTCAGAAGCTATTTTTCAAATTCAGAATAACTCCATTAACTTCACTCTATTTTAAAATGCATTTATAGATCAACATAAAACACATTTTGGCATCTTTAGATGCATGTTATGCGAGAACAGAAGCGTTGTGCAGAGAAAACTTCAGTCTGGGATCAGACACTGGATAAAATCCAGTTCACAATGGATGGAGAGAATTGGAGTGGATGGAGAGAACGAGTGAATTATTATATCTGATAACACTGATGTTCCTGCTGTCACGTGTGATCCAGATGTTTAGTAAGTGTATGTGTGTGTGTGTGTGTGTGTGTGTGTGTGTGTGTGTGTGTGTTTTTTCTCTAGGCTTCTACATTATCATGACTTCTGAAGACGGACTCGTTCCCAGCGGACACGCACATGATGTCAGTTTTTACCGTTCCAGTTCAATAAACATTTACTTGTGAATATGAGACCCATTACACAGTCGTCCAAGTGTGTGTGTGTGTGTGTGTGTTCCATGAGTGTACAGTCGGTCTGAATCATAAATAGCATACCAAAGTTTGACCACTAGAAAGGTGTAATTTTCAAGATGTCGGAAGATGGGGAAGAAGCCCTTAAAGGGCTAGTTCGCCCATTTAAGACATGAAGTTGTTTACAATCCTTACCAGTACTATAGTGCATACACACTGACCCACTCTCTTGTGACCCCCCTGGTCAGAGTTCTGACCGCTGGAAGTTTTTCAATGAAGTACTCCCAGCTATTTTCTGGGGCCACAAAACTGTGCGTTTTTACGTGAAAAAATGTGAGCACGTTACGATCAGCTGTTCCATGGTGTTTACACAATCGATTGACAACTAGGTAAAAAGTATTAAATTAACAATGGTGCGAACTTGTAAATTCCCAGGCTGTGACCACAAGGATGTGCCGGGATCAAAGTTCAGATTCCATCGTTTTCCTGTTTCTAATATAACTATGAGACAGCTTTGGCTGGTTGCCATCGGCTACTCTGCGGGAGCTAAAATATCCAGAATAAAGGATTTTCGTGTGTGTGCTAACTTCAGCGAAGACGATTACATCCCCAACCAAGGAGGAAAAGAAAAAAAAACAACAAGATTTTAAAGAGTTTTGCTGTTTGCTACCAGTACCACGGTTAAGCTAACTTTATGATCCCATGTCTAAACTGTACGGTAAACAAGCTGATGAGACATTTGGTGTCAAGACAGTAATAAAATTAATAATTAATTTATTAATAATTGTATTACTGTCCACTCAGTATAATAATAATAATGCAGTCAGATAGACCATTATATAGCCAACTGGTCAAATTTCTTAAATAAAAAACTACAAAGCAACATGAGAGATCACACTTACTCAGCCGACATCTGACCGTCAAGTCCAGCTGGTTTGGGTCGCTTTTTCCAATTGAGTGTAGGTACGAAGAAGAACGTCTCCAGGACACCTGCATTTAGCATTCAACAGCTGATCGTAACGTGCTCACTGTTGACGTTGAGGCAGTGCGGATTGATAGAAATGGATAGAAAATATGCCGCATTAAAACTGAGGTATGAATTTTGACCGGTGTGTTTTTTGTGTGGTAAATTAATCAAGCTTTGAAACGCAAATCATTTTTTTTTACATAAAAACGCAGTTTTGTGGCCCTGGAAAATAACCGGGAGTACTTAATTAAAAAACTTCCAGCGGCCAGAACTCTGACCAGGGGGGTGACAACAGAGTGGGTCAGTGTGTATGCACTATAGTGCTGGTAAGGATTGCATACAACTTCATGTCTTAAATGGGCGAACTAACCCTTTAAAATATCCTACTTCCTTCATTATTTGACTTAGCAAATTAATATTGGTGTCTAACCCAATTTTTCTGAGTCTATGAATCCATTGGACTTGTCTAAATTGCACTGACATGATTATAAACTTATGGAATATATGATTTTGTGAGATTACTGTAAGGATTATATCTTTTTTTGGGGTGAACCAGAGATGTTCACGATTTAGCCTGCCATGTTACTCCCACTTAGTACGTGTTTTTGGACACATACCCTTTTTTGCTAAAACAAAGATTTGGCATTCAATGTAAAAATTATTGCACTCAAAAGTAAATTAAATTGGATTTGTATAACTCTGATCATAAAAAAACTCTGTATTAGCCTGAACAGAGGCCTGTGTGTGAACCCCCTAAAAAGGTCACTAATTTCAATTTGAATATGGTAATACATATGTAATGCATCCTCTATAGATGTTTTTGAGTATACAGGGGGCATTATACCAAACCCAACAAAACTAAATTCACAATTTTCAGCAATTTGACATTTGACCATGAGTCATGTTGTTATAAACTGTAAGAAAAAATGATGTGGACGTCGAAGATCTCAAAAATGAAGTTTATTTACAGCATAGCAGTGGCAAGGCACACGAAGCACCTTGGGTTCACCGGCGTCAGAATGAACCCCGAACTCATCCCAGCGCAAACATTTTATACAGTATTACATCTGTTTTCCCCCTCAGCATGTAAATGAAGCTTTCTCTTAAATGTAAATCAAGACAAACAGATTCGTCTTCTCTATCAGCGTGGAGCTGAAACTCTGTCTTTAAATGTAAATTGAAGAGAACGAGACAAGTGGTGCCTCCGTGTCTATGTCTTTGTTATTCCAAACTCTGTCTTTAAATGTAAATCGAAGGGAACGATACAAGTGTTAGAGTGATACGGTCAAATGTTTAAAGGTGATAATATCTCTCAGAAACTCCCTAATCAAGATGGTTCTTGAATACCCACTGTCTTTCCCACTCTACAAACGTGACTCTGTGATACGTTTAAGATTGTAAGGAATTGATTCTATGATAAATAAGCTCTTTCAAGTGAAGGAATATTTCAATATAATCTATATTGGAGTGGAAGCTTGATCGGAGCAGACTGTAATTTCTTACAGATTCCCCCCTTTGATGCTCTTGGCCACAAGTAGCATCACATCCACTCCCTTTTCCTAAATAACACCTCCCTTTCCTGGTGGGCAGGTGCCCAGTGGCGGTGCCACCCTGGCTTAGGTTGCCCCCCTATGGCCATCGGAGAAGTCTTACCCGTCATAGGAATGACACCTCATGCACACTGGTTACAGCTCTACTTCACTTGAGCAGACTTATCATAGTTTGTGTTAAGAATTATTATTTGGGTTTTTTTTTTAAATATTTGGGTTTGAGAGAGGTAATCAAGAACCATCACCTCCAACGGGAACGTCCAATATTGATCATAGAATTATCTTCAACCTGACGTTTCAACATGGAACACATACAACATAACCTAACGCACTGACTGATACCGATAATAAGAATAATACATACACAAACAGCAGTTTTAAAGGTTACATCTCAAAGTAAACCAGTATAGGCAATAGCCAAGTCTCCATCATGCATTTGTTTTTGTCAAAACTTCGGGGTTTTTTTTGTTTGTTTGTTTGTTTTCTCTTCACAATGTGTAACAGTGATGTTAGCATTTTGTTTTAGCTTTGATAACTCAAACAATCAGCAATCAATAGACAATATAGTGAGTGTGTGTGTGTGTGTGTGTGTGTGTGTGTGTGTGTGGTTTTCATTTTCTCAGTGTGGACATCCTTTATCCACATGTGTGCAATGCATCCACTTGACAACAATATATCTAATGCAAATGAGTATGCATATACTTGTCTCTTCATGTTCAGTCTGTGCATTTCTTAGAGTGGGTATGTCCTCTGCACACTTATTTTCCATCTATGTGCAATGGCTGCTGTCCGTAGTCTCTGAAATGGTTTGATCTCTTCTCGTTTCTTTTCTCATTGTCCATTCTTTTTCACATGGATCATAAGTTCTTCTAGAAGACGCAATCACTGGTGTGTTCGAGTCTGTGCCTCTTCATTAGTTCCATCTATCCCATGGTGGGTCTCAGGGTTTCTAGGTCTCTTAGGCCTGGAGTTCTGGATCTTGCGGGTCTGGAAATCTCTGTATTCTGTTCTTTTCTTGACAGAATCCCCTGGCTCCACTGGTTCTACTTCCTTCTCGTCCTTCAAACAACCATGTCATCTTTTTCCAGGAGGTTACACGTTTCAGGCAAACATCTCGATGCTTATATCTGAAACAATGACCAAAAGAAGAGGTTGCCCCCCCTTTCCCCACAATCATTTTTTCACATTCAAACATCAAAGTCACAGAAGTTTCATCTCAAAACATCAAACATCGGTAACATTTAATATATATATATATATATATATATATATATATATTCCTAAACATAATGCCATTAAAACATTTGTTATAAATTACAACTACATAGCAATGCAAATAAAACATGTTTCATAAATCATAAAGAATCACCCCCCTTTTGATAGTAAACCCTTTTCTAAATTGTCTTACTATCATAAACCTAATTCTAATTTGTATCAGCATCTGCTTGAGACTGAGCTACAGTCCTGTTGCTCATGCGGTGATACGTTGGACAAGGTGTGAATTGCTTCTTTATTTCCTTTCAACATTGCCAACTGGGTTTCTAAATTGCCTATTTTCTTAAGCAAACCATGATAGCTCAACTTTCTTTTGTGTGACAAGTGACACCTTCTTGCCTTGTGCCCCATCAGTCCACAAGCAAAACAAACAACTTCCTGATCTTCCTTTCTTTTCTCCAAACAGTGCCTTGCAATGTGACCATCCTTTCCACATGCATGACAGACAAAGCTTTGTAGAGGTCTCTCATTGTCTTGACAATGTCTAGCAATGTGACCAGCTTTTCCACATGCATAGCAAATAACAACACCTTCTGAATTTATTCTTGCAAATATCCTTGGTCTATGATGGAAACCATTAGACCAACATTCTCTCCCGCCAACGGCAGCAACTGGATGTCTAGATTTGACCGTTTTCATTTGACTATTAGCATTATTGTTGTAAAACTGTGTCATTTTACCAATAATGTCAGTGTATTCAGAGAGTGGAGTCACAAGCATTGTCACAGCAGACCGGGTGAGTGGGTCACATTTGTTAATCAAGGCAGTCTTGAAACTGACATCATTCTTAGTAATATCAGGATTGCCACTGAAAGTTTTAAACATCTCCAATAATCGTTCTGAAAAAGCTGCTGGATGCTCCCCTTTCCTCATGCGCATCTCAGATATTCTATCCCAATTAACTGACATCACACCTAAGACTTCAAGCAGTGCCTTTTTCCTCTCTGACTTATTAGCATTTCTGTCCTTTACTTTCTGAGTTAAGGCTCCAGACAAAGTGTCAGGCAAGCACATTCTTAACACAACACACACCTCACCATCTGTTAAATTGTACACTTCAGCATATTCCTCCAAGTTTTTCAGAAAATCTAATGGATCTTGTTTGGCAGGATCAAATTTACCAATATTCTTGATCAAAGTTTCTAGTTCAGTTGGATTAAATCCTCGGACTATGGTAGAGGTCATTGGCTCTTCTCTACCTTCACTAGCATGCATAG